GCCCGTAGTGGTTGGAAGTGGAACTGCAGCCCCCATCATTTATATGAGTGGAAGAACAGGGGCACTTCAGGGGACCAATCAGATTTCAGATGGGGTCAATACCCCTGTGACCCCACCCCTAGAACCGCCCCTGGATCACAGTAATTTAAAACATGACAAATCTTAAAGGTATCCGTTGTGAAGTCATGATGACCAGTCACAAAAAAAAAGCAATAAGAAGGTAAAAATTTAATGAAAAAATTATTAAAATCAAAAATTAAAATCCACACATCTTTTTTTACATAGTTAATCCTTCGATCTGTTCATTTTTTTTTTTACTTGCTTTGAGCTTTCTGGGTCACGGGGGCCACTGCGGCCCATGTCCAACAGTTAACTGTGTGAGAGGCATGCTACATGACAGACTGCGAGTCCATCACAAAATGAGACAAATGACCATTCATGCTCTCACCCACACCAAGGGACAATTTAGAGTTACCAATTAACCTATGCATGATTCTAGTCTGTGGGAGGAAACAAGAGTACCCGGAAAAACCTACGCAAGCACTGAGAGAACACAAGCTCCACTCGAAAAGGTCCAAGGGACCTTCTCCTTCTTACTGAGAGGTTCTTAAATTAAAAACATGTTAACCAAACTGATGAACGTGCTTACCTGTAGAAACAGACAACGGGATGGCTACATTTGTGGAAGAGCTGTTTGGTATCAAGGAGACTGGCAAATATGATGTATTGGTTCATAGTTATACTGAGATTAGTTAAGTATGCAGATAAGCTTCCGGTGAATTCAGCAGAAGAGTTTGTTTACATTGAGTGTGGACCCACATTCCTATAGGATTTATTTTACTTTGCGTTTTGACTCATAATAAATCTGTTTGCAATATCCATATTTTTTGGGATCTGACCTAAAAATAAGCTTTGATCTATCAAAAAGACCTCACATTCATTTCTGCTTTTTGACACCTCCTATCTTGTGAATGAAATAAAAATGTTTGTGTCGACAGGAGTTGCTTGGTAACTAAATCCCCTCACTCTTTAGCTGTGTCCGGTGTACCCTGACTGATTGGCCCTCAAGTGTGAGGAAAACATATGCAATTGTTCGTTCAGCCATACAGTGTGTTCTTTCCTGCCACAGTATTTGCATCCTTTTACAAGCGCATAATTCAGCAGATAGAGCCCCATGCACTTATGGTAATATACATGCAAAAAGGGATTTCATCCACATTTCGTCACAGTGGTGTGTTCTGACAGATGGAAAAGGCTCAACCGAATTCAAAAATCTTCTTTTTTTTAAATTATGTAGCAAACACATGCACACACATGATATCAGAATTAGAACCACTGGTCTTTACAAACAACACTATCTCTTTCCTGAATAGATTTTGCCATTGCTATCTTTATTTATTTCTTTATTTTTGGGTTATCAGACCACACATTTAGGTCACCCGGAGTTGTTGACTCCTTGTGTTGAAAGCCACGCCGCGCATTGGTATGGTGTGCAAGTGTTTAGCCAGATGGGCTGCGAGTTCAAGAGCTCAAGGCCAGTTTGGGGAGTGACTCAGTCAGCCAGGGCCCGAGCCAGCTGTAGAGTACGCTGTGATTTCACCAGAAATGGGAATAACGAGGCCTGCTGGCAGCTTGGATAGGGTTTCATCCGCTAACAGAAAACAGAAGATCTGATAAGAAAAAAAAAGGCTTTGATTTTGAACTCGTTTGGGCATTCTTGTAGAAAACAGTGGAATGTTAAAGGGAATAAAGTTCGTTATGCATACATTTGAGGATCATAGGTTTGTGTTTGAAGGGTGTTTTTGCTGTTGGGGGAGGGTTGCAGATATAGAGGAGACCTGAGGTGGGGTGAGCGTTGGGGATAGAGGTGGGAGGAGAGCGCAGGCTGATGTTGCATACTTTGCATTCCSCAGGTGTTGTCAGCACTGCATGCTCAGTAATTATCTTCCTGTGGTGGGGGGGATGCTAACAGCCACACTCAGCTAGCAAATCAAAAGGGGTAAATGGAGGCCATCAGCTTCATTTATTTAGCAACCTGTCCTCTCTAAAGTTTACGAGCAGCTTGGCGTGCAGCGCAGCACAGCTTCATGCTCAGAATATTTTTAAACCATTTAAAGAGGAGTTTCTTGCCATCCTTCCTCAGAATGTTACGTCTTTTATTTGAATCGTTTAAAATCNCCCCGGCCTCGCTCAGAGCTGAGGGGTTGTGTGCAGATGTGCTTGGAGAAAAGCCAGCCCTTCTGCCCTGGGAGAACATGTGGTCTGGGAGTGTTTACAGTGGCACTCTTTCAAGCTGTCTCCCACACAGCATGCTGGCGTCTGTCTCCTTTTTTCTTTTTTTTTTTCTTTTTTGTTGAGGTGGGGTGGGATGACGGTCCTCAACACTCCTTCCACAGACGGGGGGCATTCTCACTTTGAGGTGACATCAGCAACATGTTGAATGGAGGAGCCACAGCAGGTTAACTTGTCTCAAATCAATTCTTTGTCATATMTTTTCAAGTGAACTTGAAATGGAACATTATCAAAATAAAGTCAGTGATACTTTGCAAACCACTGAAAGTCTTGAGCTTCTATTGTGATTACACAGATAGTTGTGTTTTTTGTTTGTTTGTTTGTTTTTCACAGATACATACTTCACATTCTCTCCCAAGATTCAGATTCAGGAGAAACATCTGTAAGATGAAAACCCCTGAGAGGAATGTATTGTTTTCACATTTGTAGCAGCTAAATAAACCCCTTTTGTATAATCTCCAAATATAAAACCATAATGTTTCAAAAGAAAGAGACATGCTTTGTGTGGAGGAAGAAAAAAAATGTGTTAACATTTCTGATGGAGGATGAATTTTAGTTTTGGAAACAATCCCTGGAATTTGTATGAAAAAGCATCATAAATATTGCTTTAAATTCATTATTTTATTCTGATACTGYATATTATCAAGTAAATTGGCATAGCTCTCTGAAATATGAGTAAACAGTACCACCTGCAGGTAGTTGTCAAACAACTCAAACGTTATTTCAAAGCTGTAATTAAGAATTTACCTAAACGTTATAGTGTTTGTAAAAGAAAACTAATTATGCTACAGCAGCTTGATTTAATGAAATTATTACAAAAAATATTAAAATTCTTTCATTCTGTCTGCTAAATAGACAGAATTTGTTCAAGATTACTTTGGTACCGTCTGTTACAC